CCTCCCCAGTGTTGGAGATGAAAAATTACTCCGTGAAATGACTCCGTTGACAGTGCGAGTGATGCAATACATAAACTAATTGGTTCGTCGGGACTTGTTAATTAGGTCAGGTGGTTTTTACACCTTTTGATTTTTTGAGCTGATTTTGGTAAGGTAAATGCGGCTTGATGTCATAGATCCCGATCCGCCTATTTTACTGCTTGTGCGAAAGCAAATCATTATTGCAAAAGGACATCCAACTCAGACTCGTGTTCGGTGAACTGTGTACCTTTTTGGTGTGCCCTCGGGGCTTGCACTCTTAAATCCTTTCTGCTTTTTGTTATTTTTTTCTGAACATTTTCGGCATAGTTGCCTGATTTTTTATCTGAACATTTCCAACATAGTTGCCTGGTTTGCTCTCTCCGCTGTCCAATAGTCCAATACAATTCCCTGTTTATTTGATGGGATTGAGTTAATTTTTTGCTGGAATCAAGAAAAAATTTACGAATATATTAAGATTTTCCACCCTTTTTAAGGGAATTGCAATCGGGTACTAGACTTTTTTCCCGGAATAAATATTGTCCACAGAATCTTAAAAAAATAGAAATGGAATATTTAGGTTCAATTCTTTTTGACTTCATATGGTTCTGCGTCTCCGGCACACTTGGCCTGAGGGTGTTTTGAGGGGATGAGGACTCGAACCTATAAACAAATGAAAAACGTCCGTATTTTTGAATTTTTTCGCCTCTGTGTGTTATTTTGAAATTTCCTCCCTCCACCGATCCATTCATACGCTATCAACCCATCCATCCATCGATGCATCCTGCTTTCAATTCATTCAGCCATTTCTTCAGCCATATAAATTTGCTGATGCTACAAATAATTGAGTTTCCAGAATTTTCCGGCTTAAGATAAATGCTGTCCGATTTCATGAGAAACTTTAGCTGTAGAGGGCCGATAGTTTTTCTTTAAACTCAAATATTTTTAAGGCTATATATTTTTTTCTTTTTCCTTGCAATCATTGACTTTTTCACCTGTCTGTGAGCTCTTTCTCATGAGGATTTACTTTACTTGGCACCTGTACGTTTGATAACGCAAAAAATGGCAAAAAGGAGCTTCATAATTGCGATAAAGTACAAAAAAGATTGCAAGGAAAATAAAAAGTTTTTGCTTCCAGGGGTTTCGAAAACGCCGACCTTCAAAGTCCGAATCAAGTATCTTCTAAACTGCGCCATGTCACTTTTCTGTCGTCTAAACAACTCGCACTGATAAAGCGGATAAATCATATGCTCTTAAATTAAAAATCATTAGAGCAGTGCATATTTTTTGAAATTGAGGACAAAACTTCAGCACTTATTTGTGCGAGCTAGGTTCAGGAAATGGCTCTAACTCATCACAAGCACAAAGCACAAGCAAAAAAAGAGCAAAAAGTAGCTCTTAAAAGGCCTTAAAAGAGAAAAGATATAACTAAAATAAAATCTGTTATATGCCGGAATCGAACCCACCACTTGGAGATTAAGAGTCACATGTCCTATCATCTGCGCCATGGATCTTAACAATTTGTAAAAAAAACTACGAATCATAAACCAGATGCAAAGATATAATGCTATGCAGCAGAAATATACGAGATTTAATGTTATAGCTGCTGATTTAAAAGCCACTAAATAAGTGAGCATTTTTATTTGCGACTTGGGTTGAAAAAAATGTGGGTCTCGTAATATGACTCTACGCTTTACTTGTGTATACTCGTGTAAATACACGCGTTTGCTTGGCCAAAAAAATGTATTTATTATACACTCGGCTAAGTAATCGAAAAATTGTAAGCAGAGATTCGCTTGAGTTAAATTAGCCCCCACTCTTCACCAAAAAATAGCAGGTTTTTCAGGATTTCGGTATTTTTTTTTCGTTTTGCTTATGATATATCTGTTCAATGAAAAGAAAAGGTTATGATACGTGTAATATTGTAAGCAATCAGCTGTACAAGTTTTGTACTAATTTACGATTAGCAAATCATTATTTAATGAAACAAAAGTTCAAGAGATTTTTTTTGAGTGATCTCTTTTGTAAAATTGGGTTTCTTTAGCATCCGAATGTCTTTTTGAGCTTAGTTAAATCCGTAATATTCATTTTGAACTATTGTCTCGACGACAAAAATTCTGGTCTAGCCGACGTGAATAATCTCATGATGTTTTTTGCAGTAGGTAGTGGGTTTTCGAGGCTCTTTTGAATGCTATCAACATTTTAACAGCTTCTCATGATGACGCCAGCAATATTTGATGGAATATTTATAACAGGGTAATACTTGGCCGAAATACAATGGCTGCAAGATTTACGGCAATTTGAAGTATTTAAAAATGGCGGGGAAGGCTGACAAAGCCTAGAAGTGTTTACTGACGAACTTAATTAGGTCATTTAAGTGCATTTTGTACTTTTAAGTATATTTTGTTGGTATCCATGCCTCAAATTAACAAAGAAACGAGGCTTTTTTGAGTGGAAAAGACTTATAAAAATGCTACTGTAAACATACTTGTACAAAATGCTAGTGAAAGTTTCATCAAAATCATTGCCCTGAATGTTGTATTGAAAATGCGTTTCAATTAAAGAAAATAGAGAATTTATTTCTCCCAATCATAGAACTTAATAAACCTAGAATTATCCGGAAATATTCGTTTTACAGCAATTTAATAATTTCATTTTTTTTTCTATTTAATTCTCGATTGGAGAATATAGACAAATGGTTACAGAAACACCCACAAGTTGCTTTCAAAAAATTGTATTGCAATAAAATGAAAATTAAATACCAAACAAAAGTTATGTAAATCCCCCTGATTTTGTCTGAACTATTTAATGGATAACTTGGTTAACGTAATGAAACAATTAAGTAAGGGTTTGTCTGAACTTTGTAATGGATAACTTAGCTTTCTCATTTCCTTATTACCACATAGGTAAATAACCAACGTCAATCAGTTTTATCGAAAGAATGGATTGAAATTTTTTCGTTAACAAACAAAATTTAGGCAATTTTTTTGGAGATCAGATTTGCAAACCCTGAGAGTACCTTGAAAGCATCTAAGACTAGAGTTGAGATTTTCAACGTTTTTTACTGAACGAAATTGTTTATTGAAACACATATTTTACTCAGCCATTGTTTCTACAAGCCAGCTTGTCATCGTTTTTTTTAAGAGTACACTTTTTATCCCGTCCAACTCGCCTAAGATATTTTTGGTCTACAGTTTTGCTTATGTTTACAGTTTAAAATCATGTGTTCTCAGCTTTATCAGTGGCTAGTCTTTCGATTCTTCACTGTCAGTAGCGCAAATGGGATGGCAGTCGGCTTGTATGCTTATTGACCAAGGTTCTATTCCCATTGAGGTTTTTTTTTCAACTGGAGGACGTTTTTTGTCTTTCTCTTTCTTTCTTTTTTGTTCCGACTTTGGTAACGAAAGTAACGGAATATTTGTGCTCGGGTGGGTTTTTTTTTCTTCAGACAAACTTCGACATTTTAACAAGCCATTTTTGACGGAATTTTTTTACATCATTCGAAAGCTATTGTTGTCCTAAGGTTAAATTTGAAAAGATATTTTACCTGTGATGATTTTTCGTAAAGTTATGGGGGTTTGAAGGTTGCCATTTTGGGCAGTTTGACACAATTAACGCGCGATATATTTTGCGCTATAAACGCGTAAGCGAGATTTAATCCGTCTTAGTAATCGTTCCAAATTGGTTCAAGAAAGATTATATGCCATAATTGATTTGTTAATAGGAGCAAAATCTACCACTTGGTAAAGTTAAATGCTTTCTGGATCAGTCTTGTGAAAGCTATATGCTTTTTTAAACGTAATGAAGGCAGTGAAGTTTCTTATATAGGTCTTGGTGATTTTTTAGGAGTAAGTCCTAAAATGCTCGAATAAATACAGATTCATACATATTGATGCCTTTATGAATGCACTTAGGTATATATGCACTTCTTGAGTTTAATTGAAAATATTTTGCTGAAAATGACGTAAATAACACTCTCCAAATACGAACGTGGAAATGGCTAGAAAAAACGTGAACGATTTCTAGTTTCGAAAGTCGAATTTTTTTAAAAGATTTCCCAGCGGAATAAAAATCTTACGTATTGATCCAGTGTTCTCAAGTTGGGATCATGTTGTCAAAAAAGCGCTTGTCTTAAATTGTTCTATTCATTCAAAGATCTTAAAAGCATCATTATTTTTGAGATTTTTTCGAATTTTTGAGAAGTCTGTTTTTTTTATAATGTTTACTTGCGTTCATTACTCTTTTTCAATCTTTGGTTGGCTATGTTATGGAGTTTTGTCCCTTGTGTTTGCGAAGTGTAGCTTTGCTTTTGTATTTTTAGTATATAATTGTCTCTGAAATTATGGAAAATACATGCCGATCGCTTTATGACATGCTTTCAATATTTTCCAACCTAATTATAAATTAATATGTTAAGCAAGCTTGAACCCTTATTGGTTGTTGAGCAGCATTTTTTTAAATTTTTTTTGGAAATGAGGTATATATACGCGAAATATTTTTTTCATGGGTAAACCGCTAATTGCTCTGTTATGATTTTAAGCTTTCTACCAAAATATGCCATTTTTTGCTGGAACATTAAAATCTTGAATAGTTCAGAAAAAACTTTAAATTATTATTGACCCTTGAACGACCGGTTTTTAATTTCTGACTGAATAGCTGTTTTTTATCGCATAATTGAAGGAAGTGTATTTTAAATTGAAACCAATGCATAATCTTTCAGTCACCAATTGTTTTAAAAGCCTATCTTTAATTAACCGTTTCTTCTTTGTTTCTTTTCAGGTGAATTTAGTTCAAATGAATTGGCACCAGGATATATTTGTATCAATTTTTCTTGAAATTAAATTAATGTATTAATGATGCTAACATATTTTTGGAGGATTAGAGGATTAATCCTCTATTAATCCTCCAATCCTCCATATTTTTGGAGGATTGGAGGATTAATAAAAGGTCTCGTTCAATAGTGAAGTGAAGTCTGGTTTTAGGTTTGTGGTTCTGTTCAGCGTGGAGCGATACTTCGCCTCCCTCAATCCGGAGAGGGGCCGATTGCTCTTCTCGATGGACAAGTGTGTGAAGTATCTGGGGGGCATCCTGGTCCTATCTCTCCTCTTGTCACTCCCGCACCTCCTCGTTCGGAATTATGACGGAGTACGCTGCCGAGAGGGTGAGTGATTGTTGTTTTAATGAGTTATCATCGCAAGATCTAAACTAACCTAATCCGACTGCATTCCGCCCCCTAGTTTTTAGTTTAGTTCCAAGAATCTTACTATGAAATCGAAAATGTATCATCATCGTTTTGAATCAGTTTCAGCGGAAATTCTGATTCGAATTAGAATAAAATCAGAAAAAATTGTAACTCTTTTTCCTTCCCCCCCCCCCCCCCCCACCTCACTCAAACATGAGTTTTATGGTCTAACGAGTGGTTTTACGAGGTTATTTATGAAGACCAAATATGTTTGTCATGGCCGAATGAGTCTGCATGTCAATTTTCATGACAATCGGACAAAGTGATTAGTAATTTCAAATATTAGAATTAGCAGGTGTGGAGGGGGGGGGGAGGAAGGAAAAAGAGCCAAATTTGTTCCGAGCCGAACTATTGATGTTTTTAACGTATCTTGTAATCGGAATTGAGCTTGCTTTATTAATGAACCTTGCTATCATTCAGTATTCTTCCCTTTTAGTCTTGAGGTAATGCAGTTGCCTTGGCATCCTATGGTCTGAGTTGGTCGAGTCTCGGCCGGTCATTGTTTTTTTTCAGTATATATGAATCAAATTGAAATGTAATTTAAAAATTCACTCTGGGTATTTTCCTTTTTTGTTGTTTTTTCACTTGAAAGTTTCAGTTTATGTTGTATTGGCTTAATCAACTTGTTTGGTGTAATTTGATGGGCAAAAATTGGTTATTTTAAATTAATTCAAGTTGGTTGTAGTGCGAAAGTTCAAAACTTTAAAACTCAAACTTTTTTATGACGATAAGAAATGTCTGTTTTCGGCTTAACGGTCGTCTACCCACTTACTGTCGGCTTGGTGGCTGCTCGATGAAAAGTAAAAGCGTATTTAGTTCTGGTATATGTGTTACCGATTGTTTTTCTGAAAAAGACTTTCTTTTATTCCCAAATAAATTTTTTCCTTCTCTCTTTGCTTGCTTGCAATACTATGATTGCGTGGCTTCTCAAGTGATGCGAAGCTCAGCTTTGCTTCTGTGTAATATAATATTTTCATTTTTTGATACAGAAAAAACTTGGAAACTGCTTGAACTTTCAGTTGAATTTGTTTTATGCATTTCTTATACGCTTCAAGATATTAAATATGCGCTGGATAATCCAAAGATCCAAAAATTTAGCGTAGACTTCTCCAAAATGAAATATGACAAAATCTGCCTCTGGGTCGGAAAATTCTCCGGTCTTGAAGAAAAATAATTTCGTTGTCTAATTTTGTTTTTGAAGGGAAAAAGATTATCAGTAGTTGAAAAAAAATTCACGAATGAAGTAAGACTAAGACCGCTTTCAGTAGAACATTGCTGTTACTAAACTTACCGTGACTCTTTGACATGCTTTCACTCTTCCGTCTAAATCGCAAAATTTTTGTACTGTACTTGGTTGGTAGTTTCTGTTCCGACTTTGAAGAAAGTGAGGAATATATATATACACTCCGCGTCATAATTTTTCGTACCATTTTAATACATGGTAAACACTTGTTTAAAGACAAAAGTTGGCCAAATTTTTTCGTACCCTTAGGTTTTTGTTGCAAAAGTCACGAACTGCGCGCAATTGGTTCTGTTCACATGCACTCACGCGAGATCAGTTTGTTTAGTTTTGTTCAATTTTTGTTCAGTTTGTTCAGCTTTTGACATGCACTCACGCGAGATTATCGAGTTAGCGAAAGAAAAACAAGCTAATAGTTTTTCATATCGCCGAATCAGCCAAGAACTGAATTTACCAAGATCAACAGTGCAGTCTATGATCAAGAATGACTACTTAAGAGTCAAAGCAAAGCGGGGACCCTAGCATGTGGCCGTTGGCTTCAAAAAATGTGTATAAAACGATGAATTGCTCTGCTGAAAAAATGCAAAGAAATGGTAACAGCCTCCTCTAAAATCCTGAGGGAGACAGCCCTCAAAATCAGCAGAAGAACGGTTCATCGAGTTTTATCAAGAATGAGGTATGGGTCCAAAAATGCAAAGTTTACGATAATTTTGACCAAAAAACAAAGAAAATCGAACGCCTCTGCACTGAATGGCTGACTAAACCAAAAAACTGGGATGAAGTCGTATTTACGGATGAAAAAAAAATGAAACTAGACGGACCCGACAACTGGTGTTCTTGGATGGAGGAAAATCATCAAGTTTAACACAATAAACGTCAATGTGGGGGTGGTTCCCTAATGGTCTGGGGTATGATTTTTTCGACCGGTCACATTTTTGTCAAAATGGTATCTGGTCGAATAAATGCAGACACCTACATCAAGCTTATGAAAGACAATGCCATCCCTTAAATGAGAGACATTCTCCCCGATGGTTTCGTTCTGCAACAAGACAATTGCAGTATTCATGTTTCAAAAAAAAAGTTTGGACTTTTTTGAGGAGACGGGAATTGTGCTTCTACCTTGGTCCAGCAGGAGCCCGAACCTCAACATCATAGAAAACGTGTGGAGCATGTTAAGTTCAAGGGTTCATGATGGTCCGCAACCAAAAAACAAACAAGAACTGGAAGAAAGAGTTTTTGAAGCCGTAGACCACATGAACTCGCATCTTTCTGAAAATGTTAAAACTCTATTCTCATCATTGCATAGTCGTTTCTTATATGTTACGAGAAATGGAAACAAAGTTTCGTACTGACTTTTTTTATACAATTCTGAGATGGCACGAAAAAATTTGGCACACTTTTGCTTTGAATTGATGAAATTACATGTATTAAGATGGTACGAAAAAAATGTGACGCATTTGACATATATAACGCAATTTTGGGTTTTTCGATTAATTTGATCTTTACTTTGTTTTTAAATGTTTTCTGGATTTTTGAATAGAAATGATAATTTTGCAGATTATGAGATGTTTTTGAAAAACTTATGCTGTAAAATAGAACTTTTGGATAGATAAAAGCTTAGACAAATTTTTCGTTGCTGAGACAATTTTTTATGGTTTTGATACAAAGTCCGAATCAGGAATAAAAAAATTTTATATATGATATTACACTCGATACCCTATGAGCGTTCTGTGAGGCACCTAATTTTGCGTAAGAAAAACCTCAGCCATAGTTCCTCTCCCGCCCCCCTTACGGGGGATGTCAGAAAAAATGAAAAGAACTTTTTATTGCTTAGCATTTGTTTTTAATGAAGTTGATTGCATGTATTCGTGTTGTCGCCGGTATTTTTCAATCCTGTATGAGTGCACTGTGCGATGACAAAAATAGATTTTCATGTCAAAAGAAAAGCAGAAATGAAAGAATATTGAATTTTTGCAAAATCTTTCTAAATATGAATTTTTTTTTCAGTGTTTTAACGCAATTTTGAATTATTTTAATTGATTATTTCAATTGAGTCATGTGTTTTGGTTGAAAATTACTAAATTATGGGTTTTTGTGCCAAATAAAAAGCAATTATTGGTTTCCATTTCGTTTATGACTGTTTAAAGTTCAAGGAGCGACTTTCAAAAAACTTCCCGCTAGCTTGGTTATGCAAATTTTCAAGTTATTTTTTACTGTAATCGTATTTGATCTAGCTCATGAATTAAGAAAATGAAAGGGGCTTCCACTTCTGGGCTGTAAACGGATATTTTTCAGAGGTTTCTATTAAAAAACTACTTCAAATATGAAAATAACAAGATTCAGGTAAAAGGAGGGTTTGTGTTAATTTTTGCAAGCCTATCAGTAAAAGGAACGAAATGAAAAAAAGTCTAATATTGAACGCCAATTGTGGCTTCCTAGGGATTTCCTTGGCTTTTGTGTTCCACTGATTTCAGTGATTTTACTTGAAACCAATCTTTTTGAATGAGTTCAAGAAGTGTGAAATTGTTCACAGGATGTGCCCATTGAAATCAGTATAAAGAAGAGTATTCTCACGGAAATTTGTTATTGAGTTTGCAAATTGGTCCAAGAATCCAAATTGTCTGAAAATAACAAATTTGAACCAGGTCAAGAGCAAGAGCTTAGTCCGATTGTTGGTTTTGTGATATAGATCAAAATATGCACTCATTTTTTTCTCGGATATCGAAAGGCTGAAAACAGGTGAAATTAAAAAATATTTTAAATTTGTTGCAAAAATTACATACTTTTTATATAAAACCTTTTTTTTTGTATAGGAGTCCATTTTTCTACTTGTCCTCTTGCTTTATCTTTCCAAGGCTGTTGGCAATGAGCTGATATGCTCTTTCATTAGCCATTCGAGAGAATAAATTATGTTCATTTCATTAACATGGTTTTCTGGACAAATGAGCTTTGTTCCGACGATATCACGAAGTGACTTGAAGTAAAAATTGCTTTTTTTTCAGCAGATTTTACGCACTTCTTGAAAAGTTCGTAGAAGGTCAAGTGTTGTCATATTCAAGCCGTAATAGTCGTAATTTGCATTCAAAAAAGTTCGTATCAAGAAAAACGGTTCTAAATGTTTTGAGTTTACAGAGGAATTTACAGTAAATTGGCTCTCAGACCGTTTTTTTGGGTTTTTCGATTAATTTGATCTTTACTTTGTTTTTAAATGTTTTCTGGATTTTTGAATAGAAACGATAATTTTGCAGATTATGAGATGTTTTTGAAAAACTTTTGCTGTAAAATAGAACTTTTGGATAGATAAAAGCTTAGACAAATTTTTCGTTGCTGAGACAATTTTTTATGGTTTTGATACAAAATCCGAATCAGGAATAAAAAAATTTTATATATGATATTACACTCGATACCCTATGAGCGTTCTGTGAGGCACCTAATTTTGCGTAAGAAAAACCTCAGCCATAGTTCCTCTCCCGCCCCCCTTACGGGGGATGTCAGAAAAAATGAAAAGATCTTTTTATTGCTTAGCATTTGTTTTTAATCAAGTTGATTGCATGTATTCGTGTTGTCGCCGGTATTTTTCAATCCTGTATGAGTGCACTGTGCGATGACAAAAATAGATTTTCATGTCAAAAGAAAAGCAGAAATGAAAGAATATTGAATTTTTGCAAAATCTTTCTAAATATGAATTTTTTTTTCAGTGTTTTAACGCAATTTTGAATTATTTTAATTGATTATTTCAATTGAGTCATGTGTTTTGGTTGAAAATTACTAAATTATGGGTTTTTGTGCCAAATAAAAAGCAATTATTGGTTTCCATTTCGTTTATGACTGTTTAAAGTTCAAGGAGCGACTTTCAAAAAACTTCCCGCTAGCTTGGTTATGCAAATTTTCAAGTTATTTTTTACTGTAATCGTATTTGATCTAGCTCATGAATTAAGAAAATGAAAGGGGCTTCCACTTCTGGGCTGTAAATGGATATTTTTCATAGAAGTTTCTATTAAAAAACTACTTCAAATATGAAAATAACAAGATTCAGGTAAAAGGAGGGTTTGTGTTAATTTTTGCAAGCCTATCAGTAAAAGGAACGAAATGAAAAAAAAGTCTAATATTGAACGCCAATTGTGGCTTCCTAGGGATTTCCTTGGCTTTTGTGTTCCACTGATTTCAGTGATTTTACTTGAAACCAATCTTTTTGAATGAGTTCAAGAAGTGTGAAATTGTTCACAGGATGTGCCCATTGAAATCAGTATAAAGAAGAGTATTCTCACGGAAATTTGTTATTGAGTTTGCAAATTGGTCCAAGAATCCAAATTGTCTGAAAATAACAAATTTGAACCAGGTCAAGAGCAAGAGCTTAGTCCGATTGTTGGTTTTGTGATATAGATCAAAATATGCACTCATTTTTTTCTCGGATATCGAAAGGCTGAAAACAGGTGAAATAAAAAAATATTTTAAATTTGTTGCAAAAATTACATACTTTTTATATAAAACCTTTTTTTTTGTATAAGAGTCCATTTTTCTACTTGTCCTCTTGCTTTATCTTTCCAAGGCTGTTGGCAATGAGCTGATATGCTCTTTCATTAGCCATTCGAGAGAATAAATTATGTTCATTTCATTAACATGGTTTTCTGGACAAATGAGCTTTGTTCCGACGATATGACGAAGTGACTTGAAGTAAAAATTGCTTTTTTTTCAGCAGATTTTACGCACTTCTTGAAAAGTTCGTAGAAGGTCAAGTGTTGTCATATTCAAGCCGTAATAGTCGTAATTTGCATTCAAAAAAAGTTCGTATCAAGAAAAACGGTTCTAAATGTTTTGAGTTTACAGAGGAATTTACAGTAAATTGGCTCTCAGACCGTTTTTTTGGGTTTTTCGATTAATTTGATCTTTACTTTGTTTTTAAATGTTTTCTGGATTTTTGAATAGAAATGATAATTTTGCAGATTATGCTGTAAAATAGAACTTTTGGATAGATAAAAGCTCAGACAAATTTTTCGTTGCTGAGACAATTTTTTATGGTTTTGATACAAAATCCGAATCAGGAATAAAAAAAGTTTATATATGATATTACACTCGATGCCCTATGAGCGTTCTGTGAGGCACCTAATTTTGCGTAGGAAAAACCTCAGCCATAGTTCCTCTCTCCCCCCCCCCCCCCCCCTTACGGGGGATGTCAGAAAAAATGAAAAGAACTTTTTATTGCTTAGCATTTGTTTTTAATCAAGTTGATTGCATGTATTCGTGTTGTCGCCGGTATTTTTCAATCCTGTATGAGTGCACTGTGCGATCGAGAAATTTTTGAATAATCAAAGTTTGTATAAAATTTGTATAAATTTTTAGACGTTGAGTAGACTTCATTTATAAAACCACAAATGTTAAATAAATGAAGTCTTCTCAACGTCTAAAATTTTATACAAATTGCATCCGAACTTTTACAAACTCGTCATCATTAAGAGTCATGAACGTAGTGAATACTCTTATGCAGGTCTTGGCGATTCTTTTTTTCAGGAAGAAGTCGCTAAATATGTTCACGCAGTCGGAATGTTTTTATATGATATTACACTCGATGCCATATGAGCGTTCTTTGAGGCACCTAATTTTGCGTAAGAAAAACCTCAGCCATAGTTCCTCTCCCCCTTACGGGGGATGTCAGAAAAAAATGTTCCTTTCGCAAACTTGCGCAACTGTTCCTTACGCAAACTGTTCCTTTCAGCAAAGCTTTGTTGAAAGGAAGGCGAAATGCACTATCGAACAGCAAAAGTGTAAAGCTCCTGAAAAACGTGATCGTCTTCTAGTTTTCAAAGTGGATTTCCCAATGGAATATAAATTTTATCTATTGCCCCAGTTTTCAAAAATTGGGTAAATTGTTTTGATAAATTGGTAAGTATCAATTTTTGTTGCAGTTTAAAGAGTATTAGGGCCATATATCTTGTTTCTTTGAAACTCGAAAGTTGAAACAGTGATTTTCTGTTTCCTTGCGTTTACTCTTTTTAAACTGCTGTTGGCTATGTTGTATTTTTCTCGACACGTTGCATTGGCGACTATTGCTGTGTTGTGCGAGGTCTAGAGTTTCATTTTAAAAAAAGACAAGTAGCTCTTAGTTAGCGTCTTGGCGTCCTTAAAAATTTTCTTTGAAAACGTAAAGTTATGGTGTTTGAAGTTAATTTCTGTGATCATTGATCCTCTGCATGGAATTAATTTGTCTTAATATCGGCTCAGTTTTGTATGCTTTGTTTAGATGCCACTTGGGAATTGATCGTGTATGTCTACCAAGTACTGTTGCTGCACATGATGCCAATTGGAATCATCCTCTACTGCAACGCATGTATAGTGCGTAAGATGTTCGTTGCCAAACGGAGACAGAAAGAGAGAGCCCAGGGGTCACTCGTGAACAGAAGTGTGCCCACACGTAAGTTGTTTTTCATATTAAACAATTGCGTCATGTCATTTATGATTTAATTATTACCCAGTTTTTTCAAGTGTAAAACAACCATTGTCACTTATAATGTCGTTATGATTTTTTTTGTTTTTTTTTGGGAATGAAAACTCTTTCAAAGAAAACTGTTCGTTTTCAAAGGAAGCAAACTCCGCTATCGAACAACAAATTTTCCTGTGCACTTTCGAACCATCTTTTTGAACTATATAAACACCTATAAAATTAGCAAAATAGGCAAAGGTGACAACAGTTACTTTCAAAAAACTAAAAATAAACAAAAACATAAAAAATAGCGACATAGGATAAAATGACATTTATTTTTACAGAAGCAAAGCTTGTGTGATAGTATAAACTCTCTTTTTTTCCAACCTAAGTGGCAAAAATTGTTGCGACGCAAATATTGCTGTGATATGATGTGTGCATTTTGAAAGAGTTCATTTTTATCAATAACCAGCTATTAAGTACAGCCAATGCCAAGGATTTTAACACAGACTATTATTGTTCCGACTTTCGTAACGAAAGTAACGAAATATTTGTGCTCGGGGTGGTTTTTTTCTTCAGACAAATTTCGACTTTTTAAGTAACCATTTTTGACGGTTTCTTTTATAAACTTCAAAAAGTTTTGTTGTCCTGAGCTTAAATTTGGAAAGATTTCTCATTTTTCGTTAAGTTGTGAGTTTAAAAATTGCCAATTTGGGACAATTAACGCGCGATATGTTTCGCGCTATTGACGCGAGAGCGGAGATTTAATCCGTCATAGAAATCGTTCCAAATTGGTTGAAGGAAGCTTATTTGACATAATTGATTTGTTACAAGGAGCGAAAAGATCACTTTGTACCTAATATGGAGTGTGGGGGGTGATTTTCAAAAAATGAAAATTAAAAAAGAACATTTTGAAAAATTATAAAAAACGTGACTTTAATTGGAAGGAAAGTTTTAGTGTTTTTTTAAAATTAATTTTTGAGGCGATTTAAGTGAAATCACGATTTTTTAAGCTTATTAGACCAATTTTTATCCATTTTTTATTTAACGAAGTTACTCGATTGCGTTACCTGCTCGAAATTAGAACAAAAATCAAAAAGTTCAGTTGAGTTTTTCTCGAGGCTGAGAAAGGTTTTCGAAATTTTAAATGTCGTTCAAAGCACGATTGAAAGGGTTTATTATGATATATCAATCGACCAATTCAAGTTATTATTTGTGGTTCCTGATTTTGCGTGGACAGCAATAAAAAACAAAAAAGAAAAAACTAAAGTACATCCGAAAAAAAACAAAGTTTCTCCCCAATTTTCAAATGGTCAGAACAATAACAATGCAATTTGCAACAGCCATATCGGAGTTAAATGTCAAATAATTTTTAATGGCAATTCACCACATCTGCTTTGCTTCACTTGCGACGCAAGTGACTTGTAATCGGAAATTAGACTTTTTTCCGTAAACAGTTTTTTTAACGTATTCAGCACCTGAAAGTTATTTTAACGTTGTTTTAAACAGGTTTTTTTAACGTATTTAGCACCATCCCCCAACCGGCATTCAAAGTTTTCCATATTTTTTAGACGTGTGATAACGGTTAAATGCGTGATATTCTGATGTGAAGTATGAAGACCATATCTGTTCACAATTGTTGGTTTGTTCAACATAAAAATTTCATTGCCTTATTACACTGTTCAAATGGTTTTATAAACTTGAATTTCATATGTGGGGGAAATAGTGGAACAGAGCCCTTGTTTTTCTTAAATTAGGTTAATTTTATCAATCCTAATTTGTTCTAGAAATCGAAGAGCTTTAAGACAGTTTTTGTTTTTGAATTTCGAAATTTAAGATTTTTTTCTTGTTTTTTTATGTCTATTTGCGTTCACTGACTCTTTTGCAACTGTCTTTTGACAATCTTTTTAAGTAGTAATTCATTTTTCAAATAAATTTTTTGAGAAAAAGTTGATTTTTTGGATTTGTAGTTTTCATCCTAATTTCTGACGGCTTTTTTTCCGTTGTATCTCAAAATGCATTTTTTATCATGTGATACGCTTTCGAAGCAGTTTTTTTTCCAATGCTTGGTTTTGTTTCATTCCAACAGTTCTTTCTATAAGTTCTTTCAAAGTGTTCTGTGGTTAGTAAATTTACCAACTCTGCTTTTGAATTTTCTTTAAAAAATTTTTCGGTTAATGGGTTTTGCTTCTGTTATATCTGCTTAGTCAACTTATATGGCGTAGATTCAAGGGGGATTTTTCTATTGCTTTTGCCTGTTTCAGCAGGGATGGAGTGTAAAAATATTTAAACGATGGTTGACCCAATTTTTGTCACCTTGGTTGCCACTCGGTTTTTTTTTTCAATTTTTTTAGGGCTGTTTTTGAGCATCATCCGAGACAAAGGTGAGAACTTTTTGAACTTTTCGACTTTTCAAGAAATTTTTTCAGCTAAATTTTTCAGAAAAAAATCGATTTCCTTCTCTACAATAATGATAATGCAATGTTTTGTTTGGATCGCAATTGTCACGATGTTTTTTTACTCTGTTTTTTCATGATTTTAACTGCTTTTACTAAATTGAAATTTGTTTTGTAGTTTTACCACATCTGATCTTAATTTTGATTAAACGGGTTCAACTCATGTTATATCGGCTTTGTCAATATATGATGTCTACTTGCAATCTTTTCTTTTTGCCTGTTTTTAGCATGGATGGGTTATAAAAATGATTCTTACAACGGAGCGTAGCTTCGTTTTACTGTATTCACGTTTTCCAACCGAAAGTCGCAGACAAGATGCTCCGTATTTGGTGGCACTTTTGCTTTTTGATATCAGGTTAACTTTTGCTCCATAGCCTTATAATTTTGTTTCTTGCTTATTGGTGGCTATTTGTTTGATAAAGAAGAACAGATAATTTATATGTGATTTGATATTTTTAAGTTTTTCTGTGACGCCTGTGGAAATTTCAGTTTTTCTCGGGATTTTTCAACCGATTTTCAAAAAAGTTTTACCAATGGATATACCGGCTACTTCCGTATGTGCTTAGATGTTCCGCTTGTCTCTTCTTTAGTTCACTGGGCGTTCTACGACCTGAGAGAATTTCTGTTTTCTGTCGAGGGAACTTTTACCGATTTTTTTTCTTTTTCTCGGAAATTACCACGACAAATCAATCTGAGATTAAAGGTTCAAACAGAGAAACTTGCTTTAGCGATAAAATTTAGGTAGAAAATGAGTTTGGGCCTTAAGAAATGTCCAAATCCGAGCTATGAGTTTTAATGAAAAGAAAAGGTTGTGAGCCTTCGCTTAGCAACAGGCGATTTTTTTTGGAAACTGTGACTTTTGGAAACTGTTCGCTTTAGTTGCCGCTCGGTCATTTGTTCTGAATGTTTGTTAAGGTCGTTTAAATGCGAATCAGTTTTTCACATGTTGCAATTGTATAATATATGCATTTCAAAAATGTTTTATCATATTTAGATTACCGTTTAATAAATCATTTAAAATAATTAGTTCGATATGCAAAGAGGTTATAAATTCTTTTTGTATTTGTGAAATTTTGTTTCGAGCGAAAAGTTTTGTTAGATCTTCCCTTTTCGTCCAAAATGCTAGTTTTGCAAAAAAAGAATTATCGTCTAAATTCCCTTTTATTGGAGCCGTCTAATTTGCTTGTCGTCTTATTTCCTAGCCCCCATTCGTGGTATCGGGACCATTTTGTTCACTAAACAAGAAATAAAATAACAACAAATTTAATTCTTTGCCTCGGGTGAAAGATTTTATTGAAGACAATTTCGGTATTTCAAAGTGTTTTTAATTAAGTTTTACGACCCTATTTCTCTTTGTTTGATTTTGCTTAGCAATTGGCCGGGTCCTACAATCTGCAATAGTTATACCGTACAATAGGTATATCGTGAAAGCAGCAGTAACCGAAAAAGATGTTAACCAAAGACACTATTATTCATCACAGGTTTATCAAATTTTGCGTAATTGGCGTAGTAAAAAAAGATGAGAACCCCAATAATGTTTTGTTTTGAAAACACACTAGGAAGGAATTAGAGATCTTTTTTGCAGGAAAAAGCAGGCTTATAGAAACAGTGTCGTACACGGTCAATTAAAAAATCAAATGATTTTTTTATCCGTGTCGACGAAAAATAGGTTCAAAAACTTTCAGCTGTAAAATGGGCCTAGGAAATTAGACGACAATCAAATTAGACGGAGGCATTTAAAAGGAAATTAGACATTTTTGCGAAACTGCAATTGCGAGAAAATAGACGCAAGTGAGGTGTTAACGCGTGAGAAAGTTAAACTTGTTTGCAGAAAAAAAATTTCAAAAAGTTCCGTAGAAACATCGAAATGGGCAAAATCTTAATACGGATGAAGGTTTCAAATTTAGAAAAGATGGCAGAACCAATTTTAATTGAAGACCCTCCCCCTCAGGGATTCGACACCCTGCCGACCCAAAGGGTCCCCCTTTGGTACTTTGTATGAAATCCATTTTTGGCCGACCGACCCTAAAATTTTTCTAAAGGGGCCTTCGGCGCCAGTATTTACTAATTTTGAGGGGGGAGCGCGCGCCGAAAAAAACGCAAATTTTTGGTCAAAATTTTCCAAAAAGTGCCTGAAAACGCCTTTTTTGACTGTTTTTTTTTCAAAAATTTGTCTGCGGCGCAGAAAATTTTGCCAAAATAGGGGCAAAACAGTGCTTTGGGAGAGCTCAAAAAATCAATTTGGTCGACCTAAAAATTTTCGATTTCTTTTTGAAAATCTGCCCCCCTCGAGAAAATCCTAGATCCGCCCCTGGTGCTATGTGAATTAAAACTAGCGACAATCTAGATTTTGTATCACAGCAGGATGTTGAATAGGCGATTTTTATTCTCTGAAAAACCTTCAATTTTTGCAAAAAATTCAAAAGTTTTTATGTGACAGAACTTTCAAGACTGTACTAGAACCTTTTTGTCAAGTTTATGCAATTTTCAGTGTAACAGAAGATCGCAAAGTCACAGAACGTTGGGCTCTGGCTTACGAATAAGCCGAGGAAACTTATCAAATTTTGCTGAAAAAAATTGACCAAAATTTTTGGGTCACAAAATTTCGAACGAAATTTAAATATATCAGATTGCGAGACAAGTTTCATTACTGCCCCGATCCGAAACATTTGATGCCAGAAGTCGATCATTTGGATGGTAATGTTTTCAATATACTCAAGCTATTTTCCGAAAAATTCTGATTTTTGGTATTTTTTGCTTTCAGAAAAAGTAGTCCTTTTCAGCTACTTTGTCGGAAAATTTTGTCAAGTTTATGCAATTTTCAGTGTAACAGAAGATCGCAAAGTCACAGAACGTTGGGCTCTGGCTTACGAATAAGCCGAGGAAACTTATCAAATTTTGCTGAAAAAAATTGACCAAAATTTTTGGGTCACAAAATTTCGAACGAAATTTAAATATATCAGATTGCGAGACAAGTTTCATTACTGCCCCGATCCGAAACATTTGATGCTAGAAGTCGATCATTTGGATGGTAATGTTTTCAATATACTTCAGCTATTTTCCGAAAAATTCTGATTTTTGGTCTTTTTTGCTTTCAGAAAAAGTAGTCCTTTTCAGCTACTTTGTCGGAAAATTTTCAGTGAATGATTTTTGCTTATCGACTAGATGATCGCAGTTGTTGGGAAATCAAAACAATTTGGACTTTGCGGAAAACTCAAAATAATTATCCCAAAAACTGAGGATTTAGTCATTTATGTTGGAGAAACTTGGATCGAAAAATTGGAAGTCTTATGTGGACGCTCATAATAGACTTTAAAATCTCCGGCCTGCGAATCATGGCATGAGCAGATCAATTTTGAGGCAAAAACTATCAGTTTTAACGTTTTTTGGAATAAAATTGTCCTTCGTGTATAATTTATTCTATTCAAAACTCCCCAGTTATATTCTGATTTAACGTTTTACTATCATCTATCTATCTATACTATATTTAAATGCGAGTGACAGCTATCTCCCATGTTTAAGCATAATAATTTTGCATGTTTAACGAAAGAATTTTTTCATGTTTAAGCTATATCATATATTGCAATGCTTAAAAAAAAATTTTCAATTAGTTTTCCGCAAGGTCATTAATTTTTCAGTATTTTCGAGGCCAAATGAAGTCTGTCTGCAACCTGCTTTTTTAATTAATTTGATTGTGTCTGTCTACCCGTCGCCTAATTTTTTAACTTTCATCTATTATCTATTATATATTTAAATGCGGGCTTCACTATTTCGCCATGTTAAAGCTTTTTCAACGTATTTTTTTTGCATATTTAACAAAAGAATTTTTTCACGTTTAAGCTATATCGTGTATTGCAATGGTTAAGGTTTTATATTCAATTTTCCAGTTTAAATTCAATGTTATTTTCATCAAGTTTGAATTTAGCAACACAATAGTAGGACATTGTCAGAGTTTTCCCAGGTTTTGCGATTCTGGCCTCCCTATATGAATAACCAAATCCTTTTAGTTTACGAGATAGGCAATTTTCGAGATTTTTCAAAAATTTCTAGAAAATTTAATTTTAAAATTTTTTTCAATTTTTGAATTTTTCACCCTGTAGTTGGGTGCCTTCAGGGTACGCTCAGGGGTTGCGAATCTCGCCTGCATTTCTCACTGCTCAAATCCTTGTAGTTTTCGAGATATGACGTTTTTTTATTTTTCAAAAAATTTTCAAAAACTTAGATATTAAAAATTTCCAAAACGTTGAAGATCTCAATCCTGTTGTTGGATATTGTGAGGGCACTCTCAAGGGTTGCGAATCTTGCCTCTGAGTATGGCTGCTCAAATCCTTGTAGTTGTCAAGATCTGACGTTTTTTTGAACTTTTTCAAAATTTTACAGAAAACTTAGATATAAAAAAATTCACAAAACTTGAAATCATCATCTCTGAACTGAGACTCTGTCAGGGTACCCTCAGGAGTTGCAAATTTTGACGCCAAATATGGCTGCTCAAATCCGTGTAGTTTTTGAGATATGACGTTTTTTTATGATTTTCTCCGAAATTTTCAAAAAAAAACTTTTAATGTTGTCATTGGAATCAATCCTGTTGTTGGAATCTTAAATATTATTCGATCCTGTTATTGGAATCCTTGAGGGTACCCTCAGGGGGTTGCGAATCTTGCCTCTAAATAGGACTGCTCAAAATCTTGCAGTTTTCCAGATATCACGTTCTTGTGATTTAAAAAAAAACTTTCATGAAAATTGAGTTAATTTTTTTTTCAAAGTTTGAAATTCCTAACCTTAGTTAGTGGGCTGTCAGAGTAATCCCAGGGGTTGCAAATTCGGCCTTCAATTAAGAATGCTCAAATTGTTTTTGTGTAAGAGATAAGACGATTTTTTTGGAAGTTTTCAGAAAACTCAAATTACAAAATAATTCGTTTAAGTGGAATTCCGAACCCTGTAGTTGTGTAGTTTTTGAAATGTGAATTTCTGGTTTTCAAAAAAACCTGTTAGAAAACTTAAGATGAAGTTTCTCAAAATCTGAATTTTCGAACGTTGTAGTTGGGTACTGTAAGGGTACTCTCAGGAGTTGCAAATCTTGCGTCCAAATGCGACTGCTCAATTGCTTTCAGTTTCCCAGAATATTTTTAGCTCAGCAATTTTCAATAACAGTTTTGTTTCAGGTTATTTGTAGCCGACCTAATTTTTTTCAGACTAGTTGCCACTCGATAAATGGCTACCAATGTTTTTAAGGCTAGTTTTAAAGACAAACTTTCCAAGACAAACTTATGAAGTTGTTGCAGATAAAAAAATATTCTACTTTTTTTATGTTTTTTTTCTGGACTTCCTCTTTTTCTCTTCACTATCATGTAATGCAATGTCATCGTGTATCGCATCTTTTTTGATTCTCATCATCACAAAAACAGCTATAATCACGTATACGCAATACCCTTGGTGAAAAAAGAGAACTTATTTTCGTTAATCAAATTTTTGATGCAATAGTTTAGTCAGAAGTGTCTGTGCGGCTTTTGCATTGCCACCAATATTTTACGTTGTTAAAAATATGTTTAGGAGCAATCCACCGGGCCACTATGTTTCTTCTTGGACTGTCCGCATGCTACATTATTCTGTTCACGCCCAAACTGTTCACTGACCTGATCATTCATACCATACCCGAACATTTGTACGAGGAGTACTTCAACATGAACAAACCCTATTACGTCATAACCCGAATGTCCGAATTTATCTACCTGCTGAACTCGCATGTAAACTTTTTTGTGTATTCGACCATGAGTCCCTCGTTTCGAAGACATCTCGCCAAGTTGTTCTTCATTCACCTGCAAGCATGGCGAGACTCTCTGGAAAGTGTGGATACTCGAGCCACTTCTATTCACAATGGAGTCAGTTTTGAAAGTTTGGACAACGTAACTGATAATGCTACTCAACGAGAAGGCAAAGTGTCTATGGATTCCACCCTTGGTATCCCTGGACAAGTGAGCCATTGCCGAAAAGATGCGGGAAGAGACGAGTTGGGAGTCACATTCGTAGACAGTGGCAAAAACGTGCGGGAGAGTCGCATCGACGATGAGTTAGAGGATTTGGTTGCCATGAAATAATAATCTCCTGTATCAAGAATTAGTTAAATCATTTTCAAATCACTACTACATTTATCTAAATTGGTTTTTGCTGCTACATAGACAGTTATGTTAAAAATTCTTTTCAATAAATCAGATAGAAAAAATGGATATCAAGAAAAGCAGAAGCGGATTTAGGGGATTCCACTCCCTGGCTACCCAAAAACTTGGCTGAATCAGGTTTTTCATAGTGATTTGGGAGCGCTCTGAAAATCAATTTGGTCGAGCTAAAAAAAGTTCAAATTTGCCGAAAATTTATGAAAATCCGCCGCCCCCTCGATAAAATCCTAGATCCGCCCCTGAAGAAATTCTGAAGACCTTATCATGCTTATTCTTGATCTTATTAGCATATTGTGGCAGCAAAGAAATCAACTGTTTTGCCAAATAGTTTTGCTTATAGTTTATCGAGATGTGAGTTATAGATATTCTTTATTTAAATTCGTGCATTTAATTTGATTGTAACTGCATATAAATGAGATACTGTAAAACAAGTTTCAAAGATAGCGGTTTGTACGCTTAGTAGCGCAGGATCTCTCTAACTTTCATATGTGATTTTTGCACCTTGTAACGAATCTGACACCCCTGCAAAGGCGGGGGTAGTTAACGAGATCCGTAGCTCATACCGATTTTTTGGCAGACTCAAACCAATAAGCAAGTCTTAACGCTAACATCAGACGTGGCATTGGCAAGTAGCGGCCGCTTGCTCCGCTGCACTTACATTTTTTAATACCCCCCGGTCCTGCTCAGTGCAGGCTCTACCGTGGGTGAGGGAGATGTCATCCATTTCGCTGCAGCCGGTCCCACCTTGGGTGACACTGGGACCCCTCCAACATTCTGCGCTTACATTCGGCACGGGTGGTATTTACGTGCAAATCCACCGTATTCGATTATTCGGTTTTTCAAAAATAATCGATTTTTGTTGACATAACATGTAATATTTGTCTTAGTTATGGAAATTCAATCCGGATTAAGCTAATTTTTATGTCTGTCAATCAATTATGCGTCAGTTGTATTAAGTTGCTCTGCTAAAAGACTCGGTTGGCAATTTTTTTGCGAAACAATTATTCTGCCAAAAACGGGCTCTTAGTACCACGTACGAGTGAGAACAAATGTTCTAGAATTACCTTGTGTTAAATTTCAATAAGTCTTCTAGTTGGTGATATTTTTGGTTGCAGAAAGTATGTTTCAATTATTATTGCTATTTTTTCCATTAGTAAATGCGAAATTTGTATGAATTAATTTAGTTTTAAAATCTAGGCCTGTATTCAGTGTCGTTTACTTTCGAGACTAGGATGTGAAGTAGATTGTTGTGATTCAAGCTTCGAGACTTTAATTATTATAAATTTTAGTTGTTTTTAGTCTTCAGTATTTAGTGTCTACCCCCACATACCGTGTTTTGTTGTAATCTTATCGTTAAATATAACTACGTGTTTTTCTTAATGTATGATGGGCAGTCAGCATTATTTAGATCTGAAGAACATGGAATTTATATTTTTTTGTTTCGAAACTAATTTAGCGATATACATTTTTCATTCATAATTATCCGACTTTGATTATGCCAATTCAAAATTAAAATTGAGGTATTGTTTTTTTTCGTGGTGCAATCAGACAGGTTTGCAGATTATTAATAGTCGATGAACTTAGTTCAGGCTCTTATGTAGGTTGCGATGGTTCAGTTCAGTTCATTTCCTTTGTCAAAAGGAAAGTGAAATTCACTATCGAACAGCGAAAGTGTAAAGGTCGCGAAAAACGTGATCGACTTCTAATTTCGAAAATGAATTTTTAATTATCAGATTTCCCAGCGAAACAAAAGTTCACCTTTTGGTCCGGTTTTCTCAAATTGGTTTGATTATGTCAAAATAGTCAATCATAAATTTTTCTAGAAATTCAAAGAGCTCTAAGGTAATGTAGTTTTTTCTCTGAAATTCGTTGAGATGAGTTGAGATTTGTTCAAAAAGCGAGTCAGTATTCTCTGTTTACTTTCGTTCATTGACTCTTTTCCAACTGCTTGTTGGCTCTTTTATACTTTTCCCAAAATGTAAGTCAGTCGCAGAGCGCAAATTTCGGGTCTCTCCTACTATTTCTTTCTTTTGCAAAAGGGGGATATCCGTTACTAAATTTTTGTTACAAAGTTGCATAATTTTGACCAGTGAATTATTTCTTTGTAGGGCTGGCAGTTCGCTAATAGGTACTCTAGGGGGATAGTTAAAGAGATCTTAACTTTCTGAATGGGTATAGTTTTTTCTCATTCGGAAGTCCCACCAAAAAAAATCATCATCCGACTGACTGTTACTATAAAACCCCAGTTACACTATTGAAATGAAGATTAGGCTTAGCGGATAGGAAAATGTAAAATCTTCAAAGTGAGTTTTTATTTTTCACTTGAGTGTATCAGCTTTAAGGGTATCACGTATCACCTTGTAAATAAAACCTTATTCCTTATATCCAATAATTTTATCCTTCAACGATTAAACTAATTCAACAATTTCAAATTTCAACAGGAATGTTTCACTGCTGTGAAAATAAAATCGGTTTGACCACAAAATTTTAATTGCGTCCTTTCAAAAATTGTTTTAAAAAAATTTGAAGCTCTAATATGGTTTTAGGGATAAATTTATACACTTTCATATAAACTGGGCGACTTCATCATGACGAATTTAGCTAATTACTGTCTCAAAATATATATAGTAGGCAAAACTAAGAAACCTTTCATTTGAACTCAAAATTGATCACATTTCAGCAAGTTGTTTGCCTTTGATTTGTGACTATTTCTTATTTCTTTGTAAGATCCAAAAAAACTATGATGATGGTTTCTTACTTTTTTCAATTTTTTTTTCCTATCCAGTGCAAGTTTTTCCCAAGAGAGCGGCTGAAGCCAGCTAGAAAATTTTGTTTTATGTTACAAATTGTTGTGTTATCAGTTTTTGAAAAAATAGATGTATCGCATAACGTCACAGTAAAGCTTCAACATCTGACGTTGCTTGTCACAGAAAGCCTGTTGATGTACAAGCTCTCGAAAAACACATCTCCGGGAATTTTTTTGTGCATCAAATAGTTCATCTTGCCTTTTCATTATCGTCCAGTATAGATTGATTCATTTTTGCAGAAGCGATTTTGTTATAGTAAAGCTTACTGTCTAACCAAACTAAAAAATTGATTGCAAAATTGTTGCTTTAATTTAACAGCATATGATTTAACGGTGTCGCAAAATTTTGCCCTAGGTCAATTTGCTTTACGCCATTTAGTCCACTTTGTTTAACACTTGCATCGAGGCCTGTTTAAAAATTAATTAGAAGCGTTAAAAACAATTATCAAAATGAAAATCAATTAATTGAATTTTACAAATCCAAGCAATCAATAATTGAAATTGATATTCCTTGAATTTAATGTTTTCGATAGTATGTTTGTCCCAGAGACGGTGATTAACCTTAAGGAACAGTTTAATCTCGAGGTTGATTGGAAGAAGGCTTTGACGATAATCCGTATCAGCGTACCCGGCACTATTAAAGAACCGCTCCACCATATCTGATGTGGGTGGTATGAACGTAGGCTGCAAGTAGGCACTGGGACTATCTGTTTTTCTCTTTCTCCGCGTTAATAGAATACAAGGCATGTTCGAGAATTAAGTTTCGGCGAAAGAATAGTGAAACAACGGCTGCGTTCTTGCCAGGCATTGTAGAAATAATGTCCAAGAAAGATGATGCACGAATATATTTCTCAGAAAAATGTGGCGCAGTTGGATACTTGGAAATTCGTCACAAAGTATTTCTCAGAAATATCTGAAACAAAAACATTTCCATGCCTCCTTGTTTATATAAAATCAATTAATTGATTTCGCCTTTTCCCAATTATTCAATTAACTGAACTATCTAAAACTGAATTGTAGTTCAATTAATTGCCATTAAATTTAATTCATTTATTTTTTTAAACACCCCTGCTTGCATCATATTCTTTTGGCAACATTGGCTTCAAATTGCAGCCAAATTTCTGCATAGATATAGAGCAAATGATTAGAGCTTTCCTCTATGAGCTGTTCAATGTTTGGTTTCACAAACTTACTAACTTAATCCAGATCTGAAAATACTAGAGATCCTAATTTTAGAAGCTTCTGTTGTAAGAAACTGCCTGTTTAGTAAATTTTTCACACAGGTTAACTCAATTTTCTCATTGACAGTTTTTCACGTCGCTTTTCAAAGAAAAACAAAAAATTAATTATTTTAACCTAAGACTTGAAGTCTTTCATTCCAAGATGGCGCTAAAGAAAACTTCGTAAGCTGTTTTACTGAAGTAAATCTAATTTTTCAGGGCATGAGCAAAAATTTATCAGCTTAACCTTCATCTATAATCCTGCTCATTTTTTGCTCGAAATAGGCTAAAGTTCAATTTCTTAGGACGATTTATCGACAAGGGAAAGGACCAATATACGAGCTGGACAGCCGCTGTTGTGCCCTTGATTAAGATATACATGCAGTTTTGTTAGAAATTTTTCTTTGCTCGGTAATGTTGCCTCGCCTCAGGCAACGAACACGGATCATGATGGGCTTCGAACATCCGACCTTTCGAGTGAGAGACGGAGACTTAATCACTTTGCCACCGCTCAGAAAAGTTTTTTTATACTCACTGTTTTTTTATACTTAGAAAAATTATAGGAATCTTTTAAATGTCGTTCAAATCAGGACTAGAAGGGCTTCAATGATTGTAATACTTGACACTTTCTGATTTTTGTGGTACCTGAGTTTGCTGGGAAAGCAAGAGAGAAATGAAAAGGAAAACACACGCGAAGATAAAATAAGTTCCCCTCCTAATTTTCCATGATCGGAAAAAAAGTTGTAAATTCAGGGCAAATTGATAGGAGGCAAGTTGTCAAAAAAGCTTAATCCTGGTCCTAGGCTGTCTTCGTTTTGCTCACGTGGGTATTAAAAGACTTCATACCAATAATAAGAATCATAATATATTGGTTTTCAACGAGATTATTTTATGAAGTTATTTAAATAGTTCAAGAGTTCAGAAGTATCTTTTCAGAAGGGCCATTAGACTATTTTCTACTTTGTTTTCGGGCGTCTAATTGTAGGCTTATTGTATTTAATTACTCGGTCAAAACGGAAGCATAAATATATATATATTGGTCGATCCTAAATTGACGCACAAAA